TAATTCCCATTGAAGATGTCTTTCAGCCCGTCCTCATCAAAGCATATGACTATGATTTTGGATTTCAGGACGACTTCCTCGGCGCCACTTCTATTGATTTGACAAAACTTGATCTCCAACAGTAGGCTTAATTTATTTACCTAGGACCTATTTATTTGTATTCAAATTTAATTGTTTCATTTCCAATAGTCCAACAGATTTGCATTTAGCTTTGACTGAATCGGGTTTAGAGGCAGATACAGGCGCTCAATCATGGGGTGAAATCTTTTTAACGGTCACTCTAATTGCCAAAACTCAGGAAGAAAAAGAAATGGTATTCATTCATATAATTTCCATTAAATTATTCAAATATTACTGTATGTGCTTGCTATGATAGTTACAGTTATTGTTCATATCTGACATATAATTTAAATGTTGTTATTAATAGCACTTCAGTCGCGGCACAAAGACTGTGAGTGTAGGAAGTGGTGGCGAAACAGCAGTCAAGAAACTAAAGACTCAACTTTGGGATAGTGTTGTGAATATAGTGTTAGTTGAGGCCAAGAATGTGAATAATTCCCATTGAAGATGTCTTTCAGCCCGTCCTCATCAAAGCATATGACTATGATTTTGGATTTCAGGACGACTTCCTCGGCGCCACTTCTATTGATTTGACAAAACTTGATCTCCAACAGTAGGCGCAAATAATGACCTATTTATTTGTATTCAAATTTAATTGTTTCATTTCCAATAGTCCAACAGATTTGCATTTAGCTTTGACTGAATCGGGTTTAGAGGCAGATACAGGCGCTCAATCATGGGGTGAAATATTTTTAACGGTCACTCTAATTGCTAAAACTCAGGAAGAAAAAGAAATGGTATTCATTCATATTATTTCCATTAAATTATTAAAATATTACTGTATGTGCTTGCTATGATAGTTACAGTTATTGTTCATATCTGACATATAATTTAAATGTTGTTAGCACTTCAGTCGCGGCACAAAGACTGTGAGTGTAGGAAGTGGTGGCGAAACAGCAGTCAAGAAACTAAAGACTCAACTTTGGGATAGTGTTGTGAATATAGTGTTAGTTGAGGCCAAGAATGTGACCGATGAGAATACTTCCAGTGATATTCATTGTAGATTTAAATTAGGTTCCGATAAATATAAAAGCAAAGTATGTTTCAAATATTATATATATATATATATTTAATTGTGAAATGAGGTTTAAAATTAATTAACAAAACTGTCTATTAGGTGGTTCCAAGAACTTCAAGTCCGGTTTGGGCGGAACAGTTTGATTTGCACACATATCTGGATCAGTCCAAAGTGTTGGAGATATCTCTATTTGGAAGGGAAGAGTTGGGAAAGTGTTCCATCAATTTGAATGAATTGGCTGCTGAAGAAACCCATAAGCTATGGACTCCTTTAGAAGGAGGCGCCTCTGTGTTGATTTTGCTTACCATTAGTGCTACACTTGGATCCGATACTGTTTCACATCTCAGCAATTGTGATGACAGCAGCTCTGACCAACATTTGCTACAAAATAAATATGTAATTATTTGCCATATTATCTGAAAAATGATTAGCTACTACTGTTTTATAATTTCAATAGAATTTATGGAGAAGTTTAAGTGACATAAACGACATTGGCATTCTTGTAGTGAAAGGTTGTGCAATCATATTATAAGTAAAAGGCAGACAAATGTAATACAACTTGAATATAATCTAAACAGTATTCAGAGCCGAAGCATTAGCCGCAGCTGACATCGGAGGCAAAAGTGATCCATTTTGTGTCCTCGAGTTAGTCAACTCTCGATTGCAAACCAATACTGAATATAAAACATTAAGTCCTGAATGGAATAAAATCTATACTCTGTAAGTCACTATAAATCACTTAAATGTATTATTCTGTATTATCCATCATAATTAAATTTCTTAAAATATAAATAAAGTTAAATTATTCTATTAAAATTCTTATTTTTCTTTATAAATGATGAATAATTTTGTTTCTGTTTACAGTAACGTAAAAGATATTCACTCTGTTTTGGAAATAACTGTTTATGATGAGGATAGAGACAAAAAAGTGGAATTCTTAGGCAAAGTTGCCATTCCTTTGCTAAAGGTATCATTTGAGTTTATATCTAGTATAATATCATAATCATTTTAACTAAATATATTCCAATTTAATTGATTTGTTTAGATTAAAAACAATGAGAAAAAGTGGTTTGGATTAAAAGATAAGAAATTATTAAATCGAGCGAAGGGACAGATTCTGTTGGAAATGAATGTGTATTATAATAAGGTTGGTGTTCATTGGTGTTCAAATACTATTAACCAAGATATTATTTACAATACTTTAGAATAGTACAAATTTCTAATAAAATATTTGAATATAACTTAAATATTAAATTAGATATTATACAACATACAACAATTTTTATTACCAGGTTAAAGCGAGCATCAGAACATTCAATCCGAGGGAAACCAAATTTATAAAACCAGAGCAAAGATTTAAAAGAATAGTATTTATACGAAATGTTAGTCGAATTAAAGGCTTAATTATGGAAATCTATGAGATCTTGAAATTAATGAACAGTTGTTTTCAATGGGAATCTGTGTCCCGAAGTATTATATCTCTCACTATATTCTTAATCACAACATATTTCTTCGAGCTCTATATGGCGCCCGTCTTTGTACTCATTTTATTCATCAAAAGCTATGTTTGGATTAAAGTCGAGAATTATTTCAATCCCTCTTTAAAAGACGATGAGGTAATCATTCAACAGTTGTTTTCATTGCATTTACTTAAATAAATAATTAATAGATTGAAGAATCAGACGACGGAACCGTTGATGACGAGGACGACGAGACGAAAAATGTATGAAAACACTATTACAGAGCTTTGAATTCCTATCGTGTATTGAATTAAAATTTATGTCTAAAGGAGGAAAAGAAATCACTGAAAGAAAAGCTGCAAACGGTTCAAGAAATCACAACAATGATCCAGAATATTATCGGAGAAATTGCATCGTCAGGAGAAAGAGTCAAAAAGTATAGACTTTTAACACAACTTTTAATTTTGCCTTATTTTATAACAAGTATTTTCTTAGAAATCTAAATCAATAATCTGTGTTCAATTCATTGACAGTACATTCAACTTCAGTGTGCCTTTCCTTTCATGGCTGGCAATCATTAGTCTGTCAATCATAACAGTCGTGTTATATTATATACCATTAAGATATCTAATCATGGGGTGGGGTATCAATAAATTTACTAAAAAACTTCGCTCTCCCGATGCAATCAATAACAACGAATTATTAGACTTCTTGTCGCGGGTGCCCGACGTCGACGAAAAGGTAATCACTTATAATGAATGCAATACTATATAGACTAAATCCATTGTTTCCTTGAGCAGATAATGTATAGGGAATATAAAATCCAAGCCAATCATCACTTGAACGCAACGGATGACCGCAAGAGGAAGAAGAAGACAGTTTGAGTATTCATTGCATTCCTCTCTCAATGCATTTAATTCTTTCGCAAACAATACATTATTATTACAACTATTAGAGTATATTATAATTATTGTTATAAATTCAGTTTTTTTGCTCAA